GGACTACATCTTTCCATTATGTGAGCTCTAGTCACACTTTAAATTGGCTTGACTCCACATTTACTTGGGTTTACATGCAAATGAATTTGGTAACCTGTTAGGAGGTGATGATAGTGACACTCAATCTGTTACTTCAGAGTTGGGATCTACCTGTACTTGAGTAGTTGGTCGCAGGACAGCGTCAATCTCATTTCTGCTGGGACAGCTTCTTTTGAAAAGAATGTCAGGGAGAATACTCTGTAGGAACTGTGGCTAATTAGGAGCTTTTCCATTAAATTTAACATGCAAGTGCTAAAGTTACATGATAGAACTGGTATTTAAATCTGATTATCTTTGCTTTGTGCTTTAACTGTGTAGTGGTTATTTTAATATGAAAAATAATATTCACAGAATTATGTAGAAAAGAAAAAACCCCCTAGTCTTGTTGGTTTTCCTGTTCCAAATTCATTTAATCAATGAAACTCTTACTAATGTCCAGTAGATTTATTTTCTGTGTCTTAAATATAAATTCTGTCAGCTCTGGTGGTCTGTTTGCATTTGGGGTGTCTCTTGGTTGGGTGAGGAGAGAGCAATCAGTCTTCATCATGGTGGATAGTGGAAGAGGAGTAATGGTCAATAGTAAGTGATAAATATTCATTGTTGTTACAAAATAGAGCTTACAATGCTCTTGTGATGTAGTCATTAGTATTGCAGAACATGAGCTAGTCCCTAGAGACTGTAGACACATACTTTGATGTTTTCCAGACAAAAGTTTAGTCACTTGAGTGACTACATTTGGGAGCTTACATTATATTCAGTTGATTGAGTATACATATATTTTTATAGTTAACTTGGAAACAGTATTGGCAAAGAAATTAGCAAATTGTGCTACTAAGAATGATTACAGGAAAACTTTTGGAGCAAACTAGTACACATTGTTTGAAAAAAAGTAAGTTCAATACAAATTACAACAAGAGAAGAAACTAGAAGGAATCGGAGGCTGTAGAGTTTCTAGATGAGTTTCCTTCATTTGCATGGGTTTTGTTCACCCTCATGGAGGTGAGGAACTGGTCTTATCCTAGCGTTGAAGGCCGCTCCCTCTCTACCCTTCCCTTCTGTCTAAGCACATCTGCTGGGTACTGTGGCAGTATATTTATGAGGGCAGCATGACAGGGTCTTGCCAAAGCTGATGGGGTTACTTTTGGAATTGTAGATCCTGCTTCTGCTCCATTGAAAGCATGAACTAATTACGAACTAGATATTAGTGTGATGGTCTCAGGAAAAGGAGAAACTTGGTAATGTAATTCTGAAAGCATTAACTCAGAACTTTTTTTAAGGTCCTGCACCAGTAATCACCTCTGAGGTCATCATCTCTCTACTTTGTGTCTAGTTGCAAGTAAAGCTTGCAGTGAGAGGATTTTTCTTCTGCTGCATTTATCGTCATCTTGCTGGATTCAGTCAAAGACAAGGACTCTTTTCAGAGCTTCCAGACAAGCAGACATCACTGCAGCTCCCAATTCAGAGATCCAGTGGCTAATCCAAATGTTTCTTAATGTTTGTGTTCCTGTGGACTAAGTAAATGACACTTCCCCTTTGTTCTCATTTTTTATTTGTATGTTGGGCTGCAAGGTAGGTCATCTTTACTGTTTACCCTGCTCTCACCTGGGTGGTACTGGAATATATGAATGGTGAAAATACATGCATAACTGGTGAGCCTTTTCGTTGTCTAACTGGGCTAACTGGTGCTGCTCCCACCCCTACCCTTGCGTCTGTCTCACCTTACGGCAAACTAATGTAGGTGGTGGAAACCACTTTTTATATAAATGAATAGGGTTTTGGTGATGTTTGCTCACTGGATTGGCTTGTGGGCTCAGACAAATGACAAACCTATCAAACAGGAGAGGGTGGAACTACACTACCAGCAAAGATGCCCCTTTTGATGGTACCTAGGTGTTAGACTGACTGCTCTGAAATATGAAACCTTATCCTTAATGACATTGGGTTCTTGGCTGCTGCTTGGCTATAATGTTCCAAGGACATAGATCAAATAAAAACACCATTAATGCTTTTACGATAGGGTGCTGTAAAAATCTGATTGTCTTGCTATACCTTGTTAGTAGTAGATCTAGTAGATCACCTTCTTCCCAGTGTTCCAGATGGCAATTTAAAAAAAGTGCATGCGACTATATTTGCAAACTCTGACAACTTTATTTTTAAAAATTGTATTTAAAAAGACATTTTCAGAAGGTTAAGAGACGTTTTCTAAAAATACAAGTAGGTTACATTTTATCATCTTTCTTTACTTGCCAGTAAGCATTGCTGCTGAAAAGTCCAGTCCCATCTATGGCTGTGTGATTCAGCTTTCTCTGTCTTGTATTGGCACCAGCGATCACGGAGCTGTTGCAGATTTGCCAGTCCAGCTGGACCTGTGTTCATAGGGCTGCATCGCTTTGTACTGTTCCACTGGCTCAAAGGGTGTATTAGAAATACCTTGCTGAAGTGGGAGCACTCATTTTGGCATTAGCTCAGATTTATATAAGTCTCTGTAAATTGTGATCCCCAGACTTTGCCAGTTCCTTCTCAACAACGATGAGGAAAAACAACAGTAGGAAACACGCTTGAATCTCCCTGTTGCCTGCAGTGTTCATGTTGGTTTACAGCCATAGGAGAAGACAGTATTACCTATTAGCTGTGACTTGGAGTCCCCTGATCAAGTATTCAGCAGTGATCAGCACTTCTCTCACAACAACAGTTTCCATAAGTGATATAGATGCTGGAGATGTAGGGCTTTGGTATGAGGTTGAGCAGTGTATTAGTGGTAAAAGCTTAAAAAGTAGCTGCTGCAGTATTTCATGTGTAACCGTTACTCTGTTGTCTGTGATCTCATACCCCATAGTAGTTCTTTAAAATTATTTTGAGAAAATGCACTGTGGGAGACTTTTCTATTTGTATACAAACTCTAAGTAGTTTTGCAAGTTCTCTCTAGACACTTAACTAAAATAATCAAATCTTTTGATCACTTGATGTTGGTTTGTGTGTGGAAGAACCTGTCCTTGCTTATGAGCGAGTGTCCCCTCAAACCTATTGTTTCCTTTATGCGTTTGGTGCTTAACTGTGGTGTGTTCTCAGCCTCTGAGTTGGTCCGTCTGGTGAAAGGTGGGGGATTTTTAGGGTAACGAATCCTTGAAGTACTGGAGTACGTGAATAATTTAAAACGTGTATGTTGTGTTTTATGCAGTAGTGTAACTACTGATGTAAGATATTCTTAAATCAAGCTGTTCTTTAAATACTGCAACACTTCTTTTCATGTATTGGCAAGCACCAGTGGTGTCAAGTGACATTAGCTGGTGATAACCTTTCTAATAATTCCCACAAAATAATTTAATTAATTATTATTTAAAAAGACAAGAAAACCTGGATTTTTTTTCAAAGCTAGAACGCTTTCAAAAGTAAAGGAGGAAAAATATATTTGAGCCAGTCCTAGTAACGAGCATTTTGCAAATGCTCGTAAAACCTTCATACTGCTGGTGAGTAGCAAACATTCTACTTAGTGCCTAACAGCTGTGCTCTGTCAGGCCAAGGATCTAGTGCTTTGTCTCTGACATTAAAAAAAAAAAAAAACAAAAAAACAAACAAACAAACAAAAAAAAACCAAACCCCCAAACTGGGTACAAGAACAGAGCAATGTGATACTTTCATATACTCTTCCAGTTATTGGCAGCCTTTGATTTCAGAAACTCCTTGAGCCAGGAGTTGCATCTGGAATGTAAGTGAATAGTCCTTTCTGGACCTTTCTTCCATCAATTTGTCTTGATTGCTTTTCGAGTCCATTTATACTTTTGGCCAACATCCTGTGTAAATGAATTTGTCTCACTGGGGGGTGTATAGGAAAAACCCTTCTTTTAGTTTAACCTTCTGCTTGATAACTGTGTCGCCATACCACTCGTACTTGTGTAGTGAGGGGTGGGGAAAGAATAGTCTTTCTACCCTCTTTCTCCAAGTGGTTTGTAATTTCTGTAGACTTCTGATATATCATGTCTTAAGTCATCTTTTTTTCGAAGGTGTGGATTTCTAGATCTATTTAGTGTTTTCTTCTGTGTAAGATGCAATCTAACTCATGAAGTACTGTATGTCACATGCTTATTTTGTTCTACCCTATCTCCATGCAGGCGTTGTGCATGCCCGGGATTTATACCGTGACTTGAATATGTTAACAATTATTAGGAAGGTAATGGAACAGAGAACTTCCTATTTTTCCTCCCTAACTGCTGCTTCCAGTATGCTGTTATTTTGCCATTATTTTTCTAATGCCTGACACTATCCTTGTCTATGAATTTTAATTCTTTCCACTTGGGCTTATTCTGTGTCCTGCTTTGATTGCAGCACAAAACCTTTAGATCAGTTGAGCTGTTCAGAAGTTTATTTCATATTAAAAGTTGTTGCCACATTTTTTTTCACATTCCAAATTTGAAAACAGAATGGTAATTGGCAATATTCAGTCTTCTGAATGAAAGAGTGAATTGACATTTTCTGTAGTAGCAGAAAATCAGAAAAACTGTCATAGCAATGTTGGGAAGGTTACTGTGAAAGGAGCACTGCAGTGAAAGTAGTCTGGTGTTTAATATATTAAACTATTCTGTTCATTCTATAATAAGTGAAAATTCCAGGAATTTTAACTAAATTTAATCTTCTAAATGAAATCTTTACCTCTGGGCATCAACAGTACGTATAAATTTTTAAGCAGTTTTACCTACAGATAAAAATGACAGTCTGGCTATCTCCCATGATGGTCTTTTTGGAGGAAAGAGATAGGGAAAGTGTTCTGAATGTGTTTCCAGAAAGAAGGAAGCTTTCCTATGGTAACTTGTACTGCAGATCAGTGGGGCAAGGATTATCAAATGCTCCCTGTGGCAGCAAAAAATAGTGTTACCAGTAACTCTGAAATGCGAGAATAGCAATACATGGGATCTAAATTTGGCGATTTCCCTGTTTCTCCTCATCTTTCTGACATCTGCTTGTAGCATTTATAGAACTGTTTTGTGGAGATGGAGAAATGTTAAGTTTAGATTTGCTTTACTGAGGATCTTGCTGAGTCACAAATACTTCTAACTGTTAAAGCTGGGGGAAGAAACATTGGCTATTTTGCTCTTTATGTAAAGCTTTTACTCCTGATGCATTTTAGGTGTATATCTCAAAGCTGGTGTGTTCTACAAATTCTGATTTTGAGAGGTGCTGTTCCTGTGGATATGCATAGGATGGCATTCCTTTTCCTGCTAACCCGTTTCCTAACAGTTCTGCATTCAGTGTTTAAAATTGACCTTCTGTGTGTGTCTATGTATGTCTCTGTTTTGTCAGTGCTAATGCTGATGTATCTGCATCTGAATCTGCCACCTTGTCCCAGATCGGGCTCTGTATGTGATTTGGTGGTAACCATTTTTCTCTCTCAAACAGTCAGAGGAAGGTGCTGATGCTACGCACTCCCCGTGGGTAACCCTATGGTAGTTAATGCACTTGCATAGGGTCTGTGAGGTCTAAGTTTAGTCCCTCTCTTGCCCCAGTCCCTCTTGCAGGGAGATTCAAACCTGCATTTCCAAGGAGCAGCAGCCAGCAGATAAGTGACTATTCTGGGACTGGAGCAGTCTCTACACCCTTGATTGAAACTCTGTTCTGTGGTTTTCTCCAAATGATGAAACTTTCCTTAACAACAGTCTCTCGAGATCCTGCGTATCTCCAGTGGGAGCAGGAAAAGGCAGAGCGACAGTGTGGGGAAATACACCAAGACTGAGGTCCCACTACCGCTTGTCCGAACAGGAATTGTGCGGTCTTGCCGTCGTTCCTTTGAGACGCTCTGAAGGGACTGGGTTAGCTGTGGGATGGGTAAGGGTTAAATCAGTCTGAAAGCTGTAAGATGGAAAAGCCGGAGCTGAGCGGCTGGAGGAGATGGTTGAAGAGAGCTGGAGCCGAAGCAGGTGAAAGGTCAGAGCTGGCCTGTGTGGGCTGGGAGCTCCGGGCAGGGCCCGCGGCGTGGGGCGGTGGTGATCACTGGCCGACACACAGCGCCGATTAACTGTTTCTGTTCATAAACACTTCTCACTGAACAGAAACAAACCTGGCATTAAATACCTAGAAATAGCGGTGTCCCACCAGTCTTGGTTACCACAATGCTTTGGAAAAAATTAATCTCGAGGTTGTCAGCCGGGGGTAGGGGGAGCTGACACTGGCTTTGAATTGCACCCGGGATGGTGTTCTGTGCAAGTGATGGGTTTGCAAAAGTGTCTTAAGGTCGTGAGATGTCATGCAGGCATCTGCAATTCAGAGACAGAACCTTGTAAGTGTCTTTTTTTTTTTCTTCATGCTTACATTTGTTAACAGCGTTCAAATAATGCAGATCTAAAGACTTCTGTTAATAAAGGGATAAACTCTGTAACTAGGAATGAGAGTTAGCTTTTGGTCTGTATGACAGAGTTACTAAATAGTTGTGTCTGGAATTTAAAGCAGCAGTTTGTAAATGTGTTCAATTTTAGTCTTTTCATGGTATTGTGGAGATACATTCTCTACTTTATAAAAAGAAAGTAACAATCACTAAAGAATCATAAATATTTACATTTTTGGGAAACTGCACTTCAGTAACACTGTTGCATAGTGACAACCGCGGTGCTTCTCTTTGGGTTCCTATTCTGTGACACTCACACTAAGTTGCGTCTCACTTCCCTCTCCAATCTTAATTTCCATTGGGAAAGTTACTGTTCTTGTTGTGTGGTGCTGTTAAAGCACTGGAGAGGTGAAAGGTTCAAGTGTTAAGAAAACATACATGCAGTCGTGATAGCTTAAAGTATGCAAAAAAAAAAAAAAAAATCAGTCCAATAATGTGGAGATTAATGTGAATAGCTGTGGAAACAGAACTTCAATTTTGTTTTTTTATTTTATTTACTTTCATAAACTGTAAAACCAAAAGATCAACACAACGAGAAAAGTAGTTTAATATACCCCACAGATTTTTACTTATGAGTTAGCTGGTAATTGAGATGCTAAGCCACCATTAACAGATCTATCCATTATTAAAATGGTGCTTAGTTTTGAGAAATAACTATTGGCCATCTGAAGGTATTTAGTACAGGTGCAGTTAGATTCAAGACTGAAGTTTCAAAGTTACTTAACCTCATGTGTTTGGCTTGTTGCCATAAATACGAAATTAAGTTTCCATAAAACCTGCAAAATGTGAAATTAAGCAGTCTCAGTAATCCTGAGTTAAATTTGAGAACTAGATCGCTTTTTCTTCCAGATTTTTTTTTTTCCAGAATTAGAATACCAAAACCTACTTCTTAGCAAATGTGTGGCAAGTTCAAAAGTAAGCTGGTGCTGATGGAAAACTGCACCTGATTTACTGAGCCTAGTAGCTTGAAATCTCTGCAGTGTCTTCAGTCCTGTTGCCTCTGGGCTTTCCTACTGGAGGTGGCCGTTTGGATGAAAGTGTCTCAACGGAAGATGCTAATTTACAGCAAATTTTAGAGAAATCTGTGAAGTTTGATAGCTGAGTTGTATAGCATCCAAGTAGATCGTGTCAAAATCGTGCTTTACAGCAATGTGCTTTTTGGATCTTGCTAGTTTGGTATTGCTATCTTTTTAACCTAACTGTTTAACTAGTTGGTGGGTACATACAGCACTGGAAGTTACTAAGTTTCCTCAATTTTGGATGCTCAATATACTTTGCTTCACCAGAATATACAGTATGTTCCTTCAACAATATTTTTTAATGCTCTTCTGATCTCCTAAAGCTTGAGAAAGCTAGTATATCCTTTCTGGTATCTAAAACCCATATCTAAAACCCAAATGCAAAGAAGAAGATAGAAGAAAACGGTTTCAGGCATGGTGTCATTCTTAAAACTACAGCTGTGAGAATCACACGTTGATTCCTGGACACTTTTCTTATGCATTGGATGTTTACTTTTATTATCTGTTGGTAGTATTGCTTGTTGCAACTAGCTGTTGCTGCTAGTATTTTTTTCTACCTGGAGAAATATATTGTGGCTAAGTTGCTTACACAAGCAAGCTTTTTCTGTCTTATTTCTGTTGGAGTTGTTGCAATAAACAATGTTTATGGTTCTCTCCTGAGTTCAGTCTCACCAGAATAGTGTCAAAAAAAAAAAGCTTCAAGTACTTCTGAGTCCTTTTCTTTTACACTTTAATCTTTTTATCACTGACTTTCTTATCTGAATCATTCTTTAGGGCTGCAGGGTTCTGGTTGATGCACGGGACAAACTGGGGATCCCTTGGCAGTACACCGAGAATGAGAAGCATGGAATGTTTTTGATGGCTTTTGAAAACAAAGCTGGAATGCCCATAGAGCCTGCCACCTTCCAGCTGTACGTACCTGCACTGGGCGCGCTGTGGAGGGATTCGGGAATCAAGGAAGCCTTCAGCCGTCGGAGCGAGTATCAGCTGGTGAGTACGTCCATCTTCATGGTGGAAGGAAAAAAGTTCCCTGCTGTATAAATCTCTCTTCAGTTGAAAGATTGCTTGCTACGTGCAGGATTTAGCCATCATATGAGCCATTTGTAATAATGCTGTTAATCTGAGCACTTCAGCAGCAGAAACAAGTGGTAATTGGAGCCAAACTTGAAAAACTACATGGCAGTAAGAGGGAGTGGAAAAGTGCACAAGACTGGATAAACTGGAAGAGCAAGGGGAACCAAAAAAGGCAGGAATTGGTTGAACTAAAAATATTTTAGCAGCTCAGTAGGTCTGTTCATAGTAGGTCACTGATGAAGGCACACTTAATTTGTAACTTTCCAGTCCTGCCAGCTTGCACTATATTGATACTGGCAAACTATTCCTGCATGCAGATCTTTTGAAGTGAATGCAACGCCCATTCCGGCTGCTGCTATTTGACTGTTTCTTTTCATCCTGACGTCTGCAAGTGAAACTTGGATAAGCAACTGAAAGATGACAGTGAGCTTAAAAATGTGCTATCTTCCTTGCTTTCTTGTTATTAGGTTTTCATGCTCTTGTGCCAAAATAGCTGCACTTCTGGTATGGAAAATGTTTCTGACAGCTGTTCATAATCCACTCCTTTTTCTTCCTATGTACAAGATGGAGATGCTTTTTTCTCTCTTTTTTCTTCTCTGCTCAGTGAAACGAGGTACTGATCGATGCACCTTAGTACCACTGTTACTAGTTCATGGAAGATGATGTGGGATGATGTCCTAATTGTTCTAATAAATGTATCTATGATTTTGACATTAATTATGCTTTAATCTCCAGGTAGAATTCTTTGGTTTAGATGTTCTGTCCCCAAACTTCATTCAGCTTTTCTTTTTAAAAAAAAAAAAGGCAGTTAAAGGTGAAATTCTTCATGCCTGGATATGCTATCAATGTTTAATTAATGGAGTTATATAGAGGATAGAAATGTGGCTTTGTATAGTCTCAAACTCTTACAAAGGAACTCGGTATAGCTATAGAAAAACTAGAGAAATTCAGCAGTGAAATTCTTGTAGTTTGTTTCCTCAGGCTGCTCCTCTGCATGGGTTCTCTAGAGTCTAATACTGTAGTTAAACTCATGTTACAGCCCTTTGGTACTCATCTGTCTCCACTAATAAGATGCCTTTTTGAGTCTTGTTGTTGCATACTTTTGAAATCTGTCTCTGAAGTATCTTGAGACTGGTAAATGGCTAAAGAATAAATAAAATGACGAGGTAAAATTGTCACAGGATGATTGTATAAACCTCATTTCCTTAGGCTAAAAATGTAACAATTTCCATGTTACAGCACTGGGGATGGGGAGGAGGATGTGCAGGAGGGAGAGAAAATAGATTAATTGTTCCATAATTCCTAGCGTCTGTAGACACAGACTAAGACTTTGCTGTTCTAAGCACTGTTCAAACGTGGAATAAAAAGGTGGTTCATGCCATAGGGAACTTGAATTTAACATGAGACAACTACTAAGAGAATCCAGTATAATAAGAAATAATTGCATCAGCAGCCTGCTAAGAATGTTTTTTTTTCCTGGGAAATGCTATGATCAAGCATGGGGTTTGTTTTTAAGGGGAGATTCAGATTAGGATCATGTGGGAGGTTCATTCCTGTACTGGTTAGCAATAAAATTGCATCAAACTGGAAAAAAGAAGCCCAGTTTGTTGAATAAATAGCATTCCAAGACTAGTAGGCCTACCTCTGCATTCTCTGGCTTTGAGGATTAAACAGGAAATACCAACAAATAAAAAAGCCCCACGAAAACCAAGCACACAGGCATGCAAATGATCATTTAATATGCTGTCATCTTCAACATCATGGTATAGTTCTATCATGCATCTTTTTGGATGGCGTTCATATAACCTGCTTAAAGTTACTGGGGCAACTGGAGCTGCTGCAGGCACCAGAACTGTTAACTTGCCAATAGTGCAACGGTATGGTGTACTACAAACATACCATGTAACTCAGTCCCACTGCATGCGTCTGTGGCACTAACAGCTTGAAAATCCTGGGTGGTGTTATTTTACTGTGCAGGCTGCATCACCAGGAGATTATAAAGTACATCAATTGTAAATGAAAAGCACTTACTGCATGAAAGTTTTTAAAATGTAATAGATTGTTCTCAAGGATACAAATGCTACTTCTCGATTGATCACTAAACATATTAAGACCTTAATAACTTAAACAAGTTTCCATGCCTTGCTGCTAGTGAAGTCATTCTCTGAGTATATGGGGTTTAGCAGCTGTACAATTCCTTTTAAAAAACAAAATGTAAAACTGTGTAACTTTTTAAAGAAAGCAGGTGGTTTAAGGAGATGCCTTATTATAATTCATGTGATGTGTATAAACCCATACCTTCATTTAGTTTAAACGCTTGCTGGATATAGACTCATGTAAATAAATAGAAGCCGGATATAGTGGACTCTGAGAAAATAAATCCTTTCTGAACTGATTTTAACTAAGGCTAAAGAAAACTTCTGCATCAGCACTCCCTTTCTTACTTAGTATAAGTGAGCTATTAAATAGAATATGCTTGGTTTGAACTGAATTTCTTATCTTTATAATAGTTTTTAAATCATCACCAAAATTTTGACGCTTTACATTACTGTGATCTTTCTGAATGCTTCTCAACCATGTTTGAAATAACAACCTTCAGCACTTGCATTTTCTTCACCCTGGTCTTACAGTCAACTGAACAGCAGCTTTTTTTTTATTATTGTTATTATTTTGACTTCTAAGCTGTAGGATTATATTGGTCTGCTTTTGAACTCTATATTTCTGTGGGAAGTTGTGTGACTTTGTTTAAAAACAAGGAGTAAAACATGGTGGTTGGTTAACTAGAGCTGAAAATTGCAGTGTACAGGTGTCTTCCTATGGTCTGTAATGCTAAGCTTAATGACTGACTCAGCAGTAGCAAACTTGTTGAAAGAAAATGGCTCTGACCATAACCTCATACAATCTGAAAGCTGCTTCTCTGGGACCACAGAAGCTGCCTCTGGGCATTTGAGTGTTTTCTGCTTCATATTCAGTGCCTAGAAGTGCTGGCTGTAAATCCCTGTCTGGGTCTTCAAGCCTTTCAGAAGTGAGGGGGTGGATTCTACAATAGCAGGGTGCCTTTTTGCTTTTTTTCTTCACCGTCTTTCTTAAAGCAGACTAACCAACTTCACTTTCTTTTCACAAACATCAGCCTCTTGGTCTTCCCCCGCCTTAGCCTGTCCCCACCGACCCAAGTTCCTCTGTTCCTTGTATGCAAGCCAAGTAGTTTGGGGACAAAAGCTTCATTGTATGTTTGGTTACATTGTCATGTCTCTGTCCTCGTTTTTTAACTACTGGAATAGGAATTCCTTTGTAATCAGTATGTGATTATTCTCTCTTCTCCCTTGCCCTCATTATCCTACCCTGTTTTCTGTCTGTATGTTAGAAAGGAATACATTTATCATGTGTTTCAATGTCCTGTAACATTCGTTCTTTTGAGGTTGCCTGTGGTAGTTTGGGCAACTGGGTGTTAATTCTTCATTGCCAGCAGGTGGAGACAAATTCTATTTTGAATGGCTTCCTCGGAGAAAGGACCTTGGGACTTCAATTATGATTTAGCTGAAAGGGTGGAAGCTTCTTCAGTTTGAGCCTAATAACAAGTATTTGGGTATACTTGGGAGTTTAAGTGCATGTATAATAATCTGCAAGCTTTTTTGCACCCATAAATGATGTTTCCTTTTATGTCATAAATCATAGAGACTAAGGCCCATAGGAATTGCTTTGGTCAGGTGGTTTTTGTTTTGTTGGGTTTTTTCTTTGTCCCAGGTCTCTAGTGGGAGAATATGAGAAGCCATTCATTTTTGTTTTAATGTGTCCAGAAAAAACAAAATCTGAAGCGAGGTTAGCTACTTTTTTGACTTCTTCCAGCTTGGCATGCTTCATGTCATTGTGGGTAAAGATGGGACAAATAAGGCTTGTCAGGCAAAGAAATGATATTTTTGTCATGGTCAGAACATACATATTGTGCGCTAGCACTGTTACAGAGCTTAAGCTATCAATGAGCACATCTGCAAAGGCCATCATCTGGCTTCATCAATTCTTAAAGCAAAATTGACATTGTTTTATTAGTTTTTTTTAAACATGCACAATGTTGGGGTTTTTTTGTTGTTGTTTTAAATCTCCATCCTAACTATTCTTAGTCAAAGCAGTATCTTTATTTGAATGATTCTTGCTGCTTCCCTTCAAAATACCAAGTCTTTCTAGCCTGTAACTATGTATTTCAAGAGCTCTTGAACTTCTTGTGTGGTACAAGTCATATTCTCATCTCTTCAGGGTTGATGGGACTATTTACTCTGAACTCCAAAGCCTATTTGCAGTTAAGGCGACTTAACTGCAGTAATTCACATGCAGGCAGACTAGATTCTGACTTACGCTTACAGATACCCGCCCATCTTGACACAGAAAACAGCATGGCCATCCAAAGAGGCTGGAAAAGGCATGTGTTTAATGCAATTATTCTTAATATACAAAATATATTCATGATGCATCACTAGAGTATCAATTTAAATTTAATTGTTATTATTGAGGTGGTGGTGGTGTTGTTATTATTATTATTTTTATTATTATTATTGATGTTCACTGGACTGTTGAAATAATTTCTAATGTTTTAATAGCTCCTTTTAAAAAAAAATAAATGTCAGCATTAATGGGAAGCAGTGGTTCCTGAGAGGGAAGTAAGGGGCTTGCAAACATAGACAAAAACTTACTACTGTGTCCATAGCTATTTTTAGATCTCTGCACAGGGAATTATATGGAACACTTCCAGTAATACTTCAAATACTAAAAGCCTCTGAAGCCTTGGATGTGGGAAGACTCTGGAAAATGTTTTAAAGACCGTTTGTTTTATATCGATTCACCATTCTCTGGGTGTTTTGTGGTGTGGGGGTTTTGAGGATATTTGTAATAGGATATGAGTCACTCCCCTATGAATTAACTAT